TATCAACCATATCCAAAAGTCGCCCTTCTTCAGCCTTTCTCTTAAAAACATCAAGTATATAACTATCTTCCTCTTTCTTAGAGCTGTCAAATACTTTCCTTCCACAAATTATCTCCAGAACTACCACACCAAAGCTATAGACATCCACTTTCTCAGTAATTGTTGCGCTCAGCCACTCCGGGGCCATATATCCAGGGGTTCCCCTCACTGTAGTCTCCGCTTGGCTTTGGTCCCTATCAAGCAATTTAGACAAGCCAAAATCAGCAACCTTAGCATTAAAGTTTTCATCCAAGAGAATATTTTGGGGTTTAATGTCCATGTGAACTATCTTCCATTTGCATTCTTCGTGGAGATAATTTAGGCCCTTGACTATGTCATAAATTATCTTCCTTCTCTTTTTCCAGTCAAGCACGAACGACCCTTTCGATTTGCGAAAGATCCATTGATCCAGAGAACCATTGGACATGTACTCATAGCCTGCGAAACTTCGTGGCGCAAAGTCCAATGAGTCTCACCAAGTTGACATGATGAATGTTGCCAATAGTCTCAACCTCAGCTAGAAAAGATTTTTTGATTTGGCGTACCCCATCAAGGCGTTTCACTGCAACTTTTGTGCCGTCGATTAGAGTACCTTCAAAAACAGATCCAAAACCTCCTTCACCGAGCTTCTTACTGAAACCCTCAGTGACGGCTATTAAATGATCATAACTGAACCTTGTAGGCAGTCCGGGCAGTTGTTCTGGGTAGTCCTCTTCAACTTCATCGGCTTCTTGCCTCCTAAGAACTAGAATATTTAATACCACATAAAGAATGGTCAAGATAATGAGTGACCCAACGCTGGAACAGAGTATTATTACCTTAAGAGTGTTCGACCTTTTGCTATTTCCAGGAGAAGGTGCTTCATTAGAAATATTATGTACTTTAATGAAAGCAATGGAATGTCTAGGAGTTTGTTCCAAGTATGTAAGGGAAAATACTTGAGATACTAAGTAGCAAGAACCTGAATCATTCCGGAAAAAAGCTGTTGTGCATGAGCAGTTGTTGGCACAGGCCTTTCTGCAACTCTCTTTATCTACTTTTGCTAGATCTGGGGTAAGTTGCGGGTCCGAGTCATAGGTGAAGTAAGAAGTGTCATTAAGCTCCAAAAAGGTTTGAAACTGTGAAGCTTCGCAAGACAACGGAACAGTTTCTGCACACCCAAGTTTAAAATCTCTATCATTCACTGGCTTGAAGTAGCTTTTCCCGTCGCTCGATGTTGGACAACTACACTGCCCATCGAAATTACAAATTCCATATTTACCGCAGAACGTTGGATAACCACAATACCCTTGAACTGGTGTAAAAAGTTCATATATTCCAGTTAAATCCACTCCATCCCATTGAGATGATCTCAAATGTCCATCAGATTCAAACTTCATGTACTGCAAAGATGAATCAAAACCAAGCACAGACCCCTTTCTTGTGGAGTTCATGAACAATGCCAAAGCTCCTTCGATAAATTCAATATAATTGGAGTCATCGCTTGTATTAGGGAAATTTACCTGAACATGGAAATAAACCTGCGGAGGATCAGTCTCTCTGGGCAAATAAACCACTAGGAGTCAGCGAAAGTGAAAGGAAACCTTGTTTGGTCCAATTCATTGGGGAAGTACCTGGGGTCAATTTCTGCCCCACCTTCAATTTCTGCCCAAAGACTAGTGAGTCTGTAGGGTGATCAAAGGATTGCCACACTGTGGCATTGTTCTTATCAAAGAGCACAAGATTGCCGGCGTGTGTCAAGTTCATGCCGGCAACAGACATACCAGTAGTGTTGGTAGACCAAGCCACTGACCCATCAACATCCGTCAATACCAAATCTCCTTCTGCCGTGAGCTCCAACGTGGCGTTCTCACTAACAGGATTGTTTCGATTAGCAGACCACACCCCGATTGGATCTGGTAACTGGTCAATTCCCAAATTCTGGTTACTGTAACCAATAAAAATGCCAAAATAGAAAGCTTTCGGGGTGGGAAAGAAGCGGAAGCCACATGCGAATGCCATGCTAGAGCCATTGTGTTCTCTAAGAAGAATGGCCGATAGGGGAAAAAACGAATCTTGCTGCAGACGATTATTAGCTATCCACGTAGTAGAAAGGCCTGCAGTGGCATTGTAAGCTTGAGCATCGACTAAACTGGAAAAGAATGGCAGGAGAAGGGAAAGGAAAGAGCAAAGGCTCCAGCAGGTGAACATGGGATCGGAATTATCAAAGAAAGCAGAGACAGGAACGAGGAGCAGAATGAAAACAATGAAACTGGAACTCGAGGTTAGAGAAGAGAGTGCAATCGTTTTAAGCTCCATGGACAAGTCCAAGAACTTTGGAATCGCTGGATTAAGATGTTCAGGACAAATCCTCGCGCACGCACTAGATGTAGATGCCCCCAATGTGCCGGTGCGAGGGCGCCGAATATCCAATAATTCGAGAAAGGAAACAAAAGGAAAGACCGGAACTGAAAATGGTTGTTCTTGATTGTCGATTCCAAAGAACAATGCATGATTTTGAGAGCGCAGACAGCAACGTACGACACAAGAAGAAGACAAGCTAACATCAGAGGATCATCACTAGCCTATTCTCTTCACAACTAACAGAAAACGCCCCCTCACTCATGAATGTTGAAGGCATCAATCAATGCTCGTTAAACATTCAGAAATCTAATTATAGCTTACAATAGTCGATTCCATCGAAGAAACAAGTAAAGCTGAATGCAGAGTAATGGGCTCTCGCCAGCTCAATAAAGGTGATTGTAAATATTTTAAGATCTTTAATAGAGAAAATGGTTATAAGGATACATTTTTACTCAAAACTTAATAAAAGAGTACGTTGATGGTTCTATTTATAGAATACGAGACACCCTAATCAAAATCTCCAAATTTCTTTATTTATGAGTTATGACTACCTACTAACTACTGACTAGGGGTGAGCGATTCCAAGTTCCTTACAGGTTATAGGTGGAACCTGTAACCTGTCATCGGGTACAAGTTCCTCATTTTTTGAAACCTAGAACCTACTCATCGGAACCTGGAACCTAGAACCTACCCTGTCATAGGTTTTAGGGTAGGTTCCAGGGTCTAATAGGTTCTTTTTTTATTTATTTCATTTTTAATTAAATAAAAAGAAAATGAACGCAACAATAATCAACAAGTTTGTCATTAACCAAAGAGAATACAAAAGACTAGTTTTCCTGACATTACAGTTTAAATAAATACAATTAAAATGAGAAGTCATTGGGTGAATCAATACTAGGGGTGAGCGATTTCATGTTCCATACAGGTTCCATCTGAAATCTACTAATGAGAATACGTCCCTCATTTTTTGGAACTTGGAACCTACTCTATCAGGTTCCAAGTGGATTATAGGATCTACCCAAGTTCCACATGTATTATTAATTGAATAATTACAGTGAATCATCACCTTTAATGATCACCATTTGTTGTTATGATCCACTGATCATAACTTATATTTAGACACACAAAGAATATGAAATGCTAACAAGTCAAAAAATAAAAGCTCATATTAGTGGTTTTATATTATACAATTATCATCTAATGCCATGAAACATCGCAGAATCACGTGAAGACATAAACAAAAAAAAAAACTCAAAAAAATTTATTTAGGTTTCAGGTTCCAGGTTCTACCTATCTAGAACCTGGAACTTACCCATCGAAATAGGTTCCTCAATTTTTGGAATTTGGAACCTATCCTGCATACCTTGGAACCTGAAATCTACAGGTTCCCACCAGTCAAATTATCAGGTTCCAAGTTCTACTCTAGAACCATGCTCACCCCTACTACTGACTAATATCTATAAATATATTTCAATACTCCTCTCGAGTTGGAGGAGCTAAAAAAAGGACGGGTACAACTTTATTCCAAAGTCCGTGACCAAAGCTAAGACAACATCAAATTGGATTTAAGAAAAGCGCTGAAGAAACACATGATCAGAAAGTTGACACATCTTTCTTCCATAACCTTGATAAAATCATGTGGAAACTAACCTCAATTACAGAAAACTAAACGCACTACCCCATGGCACTCAATTTTGGCAGTTCGAGAAATCCCAGCCCTACTACCAAGACCTCAGCGCTTGGGCTTGAGAACCTCGAGGCCTAGTTCGATGCTCTAGCCATTGTCCTCGGCACTCGGAATATAATTTGATGATTTAGCATGTGTATCCCTTATATCAAACGAATAATGCTTATCACTTTAGGAAAATAAAAGCAAGTTTACCTTACCAGACAATAGAAGATATTTCCTAGTTCGTTTTCAGATTTCACCCAAACACAGAAAAATATTATCGTTTTCCTAGAAAAATGACTTCCTTTTCATGTTAAATAATGATGTTGTCTTTTGGACATTTGTCAATTTGCGAGTAGATGTGAGTAAAGAAATTACATGCCACGCCAACCGCTAACATGGCATTTTAAAACTGCCTAATATTTTCTCGGGTTAATATCACGAAAAACCCCAAACTAATACATTTGTGACAAATTTACTCCAAACTAATTTTTTAACAGCAAAAAACTTCAAATTGGTACACTTGTGACAAATTTACTTTCTATTAGTTTCCATTAAATTTTACTATCAAATTGCTGAATTAGATGACAAGTGCTAGTTGACGGGTGTAACAATTTAGGGTTTCACCCGTCCGTTGTCACGGGTTTACCAATTTAAGGTTTTTCACGATATTAATCCAATTTAACGGAGGTAAATTTGTCATAAATATACCGATTAGAGGTTTTTAGTGGTAAAAATATCAGTTCTTGGTAAATCTATCACGGGTGTACCAATTAGAGGTTTTTGGTAATCAAAAAATTAATTCGGAGTAAGTTTATCACAGATATATCAGTTTAGGATTTTTCATCAATCCTATTTTCTCATCAATTACGCTTGGCGCTTTTCTCACCCTTGTACAAATTTTAATTCAATAAAATCGACAACAAACCGTAAAATCAAGCCTGAAACGTCGGGGCTCCGACACGAAGGGGGGGATCGATCATCCATGGCGACATCTCTCGGAAACAAACGGTCTCTCCGCCTCCTGACTCGGTTCCTCGACTCACCGAGCCCGCACCGTTCCCCGCCGACCAGCTCCTCCTCCCGGTCCCTGCAAACCCTTGCTTACGAAGAGGTACGGCCTCCTCCCGCCGGCGACAATCCCGCCGCCGCCGCCGCCCCGACGGCGCTCGTGCTCCACGGCCTCCTCGGCTCCGGCAGGAACTGGAGATCCTTCTCTCGCTCCTTGGCCTCCGCTCTCTCCGCCGCCTCCCCTCCCTCCGGTACTCTCTCTCCCTCTCTTTCTGCGAACGTTTCGCGGAGGACTGGAGTCTTTCTCTTCTTTTCTCTTTGATTTCCAATGCTCTTTGGGGGTGCTGCAGAGTGGAGGATGGTTCTGGTGGATCTGAGGAACCACGGGAGATCGGCGGAGCTGGGGGGCTTCGGCCCGCCTCACGACATGTCCAGCGCCGCCGGGGATTTGGCCGATCTGGTGAGGTCGCGAGGGTGGGCCTGGCCGGATGCCGTGATCGGCCACTCCATGGGCGGCAAGGTGGCCTTGCAGTTCGCGCAGAGCTGCGCCCGCGGGGACTATGGCGAATCCGCCGCATGTCCGAGGCTGGTAGGCGTGTTTTCCTCGTCATTTCTCTACCTTGGAAGTGATCGATTTTCTGTTCTGATGGCTGCGTCTCGAATTATAGTGATTGTCTGGCTCCGCAGCTCAGTAATTTGCCCTTAGCGAGTGATAATTTACCTGCCCTTAGATTTTCTTGACTAGAGCAAATTGCCAGTCATTTTCTGCAGATAATGCTTATTGCTGTACAATGGGATTCATCGAGGGCAGGAAATCCATTATACTGAAAGCAGTAGAAAAGATTATTTGAGTAACAGCGGTCCAAAAATGCAACTTGACAACTCAATGAATTAAACTCATGCCGAAGTTCATTGTTGTAGAGCACTTGCCATTTCTTGACGGATTAATAGATATACCTTTGACACGAGTTCAGGCTCTGTCGATCCTTTCCAGGTCTTACACATATTTGTCTTTGATGTGTTCAAGCTCTGGTAATATGTTTCTTAAGCTGGAATCCTTGTCTTTCATTTATAAGTGAGCAGAATATAAGATGTCCCTATGCACTTGATGGGGAATGGTAATGGAGGGGTTCTTCCATTAATCCAATAGTTGCTTCCAAGCGCGCCATTCCATGGGTTTTGTCTAGGAATTGCTTACCTCATTGTAAAAGTCAAAGCATGGTTGAGCTCCATACTACAAAATTTCTTGCAATATGGAATGACACTTTTGGAATTCAATTTTGTTTACTTGACGATGTGGATAAAATATGTCTCATCACCCCCAAAAGCATTCGACGTCGGCTTCATGGCCACTAATGAGGTGAATGTTCCCCTGGGTCTTATTCTTTCAGTCATGCTGTTGGGTTTACAGAGTTTGAGAATTTTTTTCTTTGAAACAGTGCCAAGGTGGTACTGCTTGTACGTGTTTCGTTTTCAAAGTAGTTCTAGCAATTGAATATGAGAGAAAGTATATATGATGCTTTACAGGATGTCTGGCATGAAAATATTTGCTTGATAGGCTAGGGTTCAGTTTTCTGATACTCAAGTCAATGGGAGAATTTGTTTGTCTTGAGCACCTGCAAGACTTTAAATCCTAGCACTCCCTCGCGCAAGTTTCCCTGGTATAGTCTTCTTGTTTTCGGTGTCTTTGATGCTCTATTTGATGTTGTAACATCCGCATCATATGTTTTGTGTATAAGGTCTAGCTTACACCCAATGGAAAATGTCAAGAGATATGTTTGATATGCATGGTATATTCGTTTCTGATTAGCTTAAGCTTTTAGGGAAATTGTCTCACATCTGCTAGTGAAATAAAAATGGTGGACAGGCCTATGGCGTTTTTATTTTGTTCCTTTTCTGTTTTCTGGTCTTGCATGATTTGTTATGCTGACCATGCTGTGCTATATTCTGAACATGATGCCCTATTGAGTCCCTTGTAATTCTAGCCATAATGGTATAATTTACTTTTTCCAATTTTGTAACCATGTGATGTCAATGGTACCGGAAATGTTTGTGTGAGTGACCCTAATTGTTATTTGTGCGTCTCTACATTTTATGGTAGCTAATGTGCTGGAAAAGCTCTTTAGTTATTCCTATTTCCTGATGCAGAGCAGCTGTGTGTGCTGGATTCTGTCCCGGGAGAAGTAAAGTCAGAGAATAGTGATGGAGAAGTAGAAAAAGTTTTGAAAACATTGCAGAGTTTACCTTCAACAATCCCATCGAGAAAGTAGTATTATCCTTCTTCCTTTGCTGGCATGTTGTAGTCACAGTTTTCGTGTTTCAACATTTTTTTCTCTCTTTGTTAGTCATCTAAATTGTTAATGCAAATGAAGACATTGTGCAGCAAGAAGAAGTGTTTAGAGAGTTGTTCTTAGGACTTCAATACCCCTTGAAAGGTGTTTTCTAAGTTCACATCATCTTGAGAAGGGACATGTGTATCTCCTTGCTGTCATTTGTGTTGGATATAGTCCAGTAATAGACACGTAAGCAGGGTTTTGCAGAATTTTACCCCAAAAGCTGCTCCATTTGAAGAAGAGACAAATCCGAATGCTTCTCAGTGGAGGACACTAAGTTGATAATCTGTCTGCAATTTGTCTGAGTTGTTCTAGCTTCTATTTGAGTATAATCACAATCATGATGTTCGACCAAAATAAAAAAACAATCATCATGTGGGATTCCCCTTATCACAGTGTGCATCTGAAATTGCAGAGTTAGACACAATATTTAAGGGGGTGCTAAGAACTTTGTCTTTGATGTTCTTGTCTTCAGGTGGCTGGTGAACCACATGCTGGAACTCGGTTTCTCAAAGTCCTTAGCAGAGTGGATAGGCAGCAACCTCAAGAAATCTGGAGATCGTGAAACGTGGGCTTTTAGTCTGGAAGGTGCCGTTCAGATGTTTGATTCGTACAGGTAATTATCTGCCTTCATTTTCATGTAAGTGGGTGAATATGCACTCCTCCCGCGTGATATAAGGTGACTTGTATACCATCAGGGAGACCTCCTATTGGTCTTTGTTGGAGGAACCGCCGAAAGCCACGGAAATAGCAATTGTGCGTGCAGAGAAGAGCGATCGATGGGACCCGGACGTGATACAACGGCTCGAAAGACTTTCTAGTCTAGGAAGGGACCGATCCGAAGGGAAGGTTTCACTTCATGTTCTTCCAAATTCTGGCCACTGGGTTCACGTGGACAATCCGAAGGGGCTTCTCGAGATCGTGGCTCCAAAGTTCACGTCCATCTAGCCTCGCCCTACCGGATTCCGACTCCCCAGGCGCCTGCCGGTGCGGAGCCAGTGGCTTTTCCATTCTTGCCTGTAACTATTGAAATCGGGAAGTCCCGCTTCGATACGAATAAATCTCTGTCCTATCTTGATGTTGTCTCGGCGCGACAGAGCGCCTTATTTATCCTCTTTTCATGTAGCAGACGGAGTTCAGATTGATTGACATTTCTTTCATTCACATAATCGGTCATTTGGATATGGCGAATGCGCACATTTTCATTTAGTCTCAACGGCAGGTCATAATGACATGTAATGGTGATTGCTCTTCATGATGTTGCTGTGCTTTTTCTTTTTCTCCTTTTTCCGCATAATACTGTCCTAAATCCCTAACTGGGTACACTAATGCCACATTTATCTCAAATTAATTTTCATGTCATAGAAAATCCTGACCCGATAAACTTATGATACATTCATCTCAAATTAAATCTCGCCTTCGACACGAAGAGAATGCATGCGCGGCGATCCGAATGAAATCCGACAGTCCAAGGGGGCAAAATGAGAAATCATTTTTCTTAGGGCAAGTTTTTGAGGGCCAAAAGTGGAAAATATGCAAAAGAATGAAGAAATTGCAAAATGGGGTCTGGTCGGCCCATCAAGAAGCCCAAAGAAAGTTGGGGTCAAAGGAGAGGGGACTCGAGAGTCAAAACCCTAGCTCCGGCAGAAGCCCGTATAAAAGCCCTCGAGTTCTCTCTTCAACCTCTCCGTTCCCTCCTCCTCGCACCGCCGAGAAGACGCGCAGAGAGAGAGAGAGAGAGAGAGAAGAGGAAGCGAAGATGCAGATCTTCGTGAAAACCCTAACCGGCAAGACCATCACCCTCGAGGTCGAGAGCAGCGACACCATCGACAACGTCAAGGCCAAGATCCAAGACAAGGAAGGTCCGTCCCCCTCCGCCGCCGGCGGAGCCTCCGTTCTCGTTCGCCTCTGCTCCGGAACTGATCGGCGAACGATCGGTTCGGTTTTCGCGCCGAGATTTCCGTGATTTTGATGCGTTTGCTTTTTTGTTTTGTTCGAATGTCGCTGAGCAGGAATCCCGCCGGACCAGCAGCGGCTGATCTTCGCCGGGAAGCAGCTCGAGGATGGCAGGACTCTGGCCGACTACAACATCCAGAAAGGTGCTCTTGCTTTCCTTCGTGCTCTGTTGTTGTTGTTTGATTGCATCGAGCTGGAGACGTTGATGTTCTCTGCTTGTTGTTTGGCTCAGAGTCCACGCTTCATCTCGTTCTGAGGCTGCGCGGAGGGATCATCGAGCCTTCTCTGATGGCTTTGGCTCGCAAGTACAATCAGGACAAGATGATCTGCCGCAAGTGAGTTCTTTGCTTTTTTTTCGCTATTCTGGTGCCCAATATCATCTGAGGTTGTTCGTACTGGAATTGAATCGTTGAAATGCTAGAAATGTTAGAGTAGACTTGAGCTGATTCATTGGATAAAAATGAGCTTTGAGCATGAGGACGGTACTATACTTAGCGTCTTAGCTGGAACAGTGCTGAATAGGTTATGCTAGTTTCCGATAACAATTATCGATCTTTAGTGGTTTCGCGTCCGGTTTCAATCAGTTCCAGATGATTTTCTCCTGGGGATGTGCATTCTTCTCTTTCTGGTCGACACTTTTTTGTCGGTCCTTGGTGTTTGGTTTATCATTGAGTCGGTTGGCTGTTGTTCTATTTCCTTCTAAATCTTAAAAGGTGGATTATTGTTTGGCCTGTACAATGTTCTCAGACTAGAATTCTTGTTAGTTGTCAGGACATGTTCTCTCAAACTCTGTTCTACTACTGTATCTGCTAGAGCTTTTCCATAGAACTCCTTTTAGACCTTCTTCTGTACCTCGCTCTCTCTCTCAATTATTTTGCCTTATTCTGATGTTTCCATAAATGAAACGGTTTTGTTCCTTTCAAATGCTATTGCTCTGATTCATCTGAGATCTGAGGCTACATGTACCAAGGTTAGGGCGTGTGATCGATTTAATCAGTGCCCTTGATCTTGAATTTGCCAAAGCGGCTGTAGCCAGATCCAACAGCTGAGAAGTTAACTGGCCGGTTGTTGTCCATCTCCATCGACAATTCTGCTTACCGAACTTCTCACATTCCTTTTTCTGGAATTTTTTTCTGCTATTTCCGGTTTACTATAATAAAAATCAGAATTTATTCCACTATAGCATCTGTTAGATCTTTTCCACAGAACTGCTTTTAGAACTTTCTTCCTTCCCTATCCTGCTTTCTGTAGTTTGATGCTCAGATCTTTGTCAAATCTTGGATTTGTTGTGACATTTGGTGCTGCTTTGCTGCTGTCAGTTTCAAATTTTCTGCTGCTTTAAATGGGACTATCAGTTGAACCCTCACTTGCTGTTAAGTGCAATGGAGGGCATCTTAGTTCCCAAAAGCCATTTCCATTTGAACTTTGTCAGCTGGGCTTTGACTATATTCAGTTGATTTTCATTAATGGTACATATGTGGTTTAATCATTAGTGAAGTCTTGTCTTTAATTTCTACTTGTGTTATGAAATAATACATCTATTTTATTATGAAAACACATATTTTAAAAGAGAAACCTGTCTTGGGCTTGTTTCTGAATCCAGAGGACATATAAGAGACGAGCAATATTAAGATGGACAGCTTAGATGGGGATGGGAAATCTCATTCCTGTGGGGTTCATAGTAGTCATATCCATCTGAGGTTTAGGAAGTTTGCTACTGTATGTGGACAGCATTCGGCAATTATATTTGTCATTGAGGGTATACATATTCAGTGATAATCATAAGAACTTGTGTTAAATTTGACCACTTCACTCTGATTTCTGTTGGATAGATACATGTGACGATACTGAAATATCCTATCCTTTCCCTGCTGCCTGTGGTTGCACCTTGCATCTACAATTTTAGGACATTAATGTCGATTCTTGTGAAGCCCACATGATTGTGTGTATGCTCCTTTTATTCAGTTAACTGTGTTAAGTGCCATTCCCATGTGTCCTTAACTATCAATTTGAGGTTAATCACAATCCAATGGATGTCTCAAGGCGATGGCTGCTTTATCCATCTTCTGTGTGTTCTTAAAATGTCTTGCGTTAATTTCTGTACATCTTTACCCTTTTTTGGTAATACTATCATGTAATGCCGTCTGCTGTGCGCCAGATGTTATGCCCGCCTGCATCCGAGAGCTGTGAACTGCCGCAAGAAGAAATGTGGTCACAGCAATCAGGTTAGCTTGTTTCTCTAATCTTGTATTCTTTCTCTCCATTTATTGAACTTGGCGTCTCTACCATGAAAGTAATCAAAACTTTTTGTCTTGCAGCTGAGGCCTAAGAAGAAGATCAAGTAGACTTTAGGTGGTTACTTACTCTTTACTGTTGCAGAGCATCTTGTTTTACATTGAAGTAATGCTTGTGTTGATGACTAGTTGACTACTTTCATTGTTTCAACCGAGAAGAATTCATTTGGGCATGGTTTTGCTTTTTGCCTTTTGGGGCCTTAGCAGATGAGATCGTTTTTACCTTTTTAATGTTTGAAAGTGATTCTCCCTTCACGACCGAAAAAAAGCAAAGAGAGAAAGTGATTCTCCCCTGGTTAAGTCTCCGAGATCAAGAGTGGATACTGCTCTCCTCGGCGAAAAAGAAAAGAAACGAGCCTTATCCACTCGGTTAGCATTTCTCAATAAAAATATCAGAAAGCAGATCTGAATGCCAAAGGTGGATGAAAATCAAGTAGCGGGTTTTAGTCTTCTAAAAATGGCTTTTGAGAAGCACATTGGACCTCTGCCATCACTATAATCCGAATTGATGCATGCAGGTATTTTTATCTAACATCACAAACATCTGCAACACTTGGGACTGTACATGGTTGTTTCCCCTCTGAAGCTGCCCTCCCCAATTTCCTGACTTCCCCCTCGTTGTTGTCCTGTTGTCTCTTACCAGCAAACCTTTTTCCTTCCCCAGAGGATAGACATTTGGCAGAGAGTTTGCATCAATCTGACCCGAGTTACATCAAATTCATTTCCTACTTCCCAAGATTCCATAGGAAAGTCCTCAATCTGCATTCATAGCTAGGAATAGCTACCTTCACTGGATTTGCTCTGGAACCCGTGATGGATCACTCTTATTTCTTAACTGTAAGGTCGAAATCTCTAAGCTTTCACGCGATATGAAAAGGGAGAAAGGATCCCCTTGTTTTGCTGCAATGGTTAAAAGGCTCAGAGTATTTGTCCATCTTGAAATGATGGAAGCATTACAATTACCAATACAATTCAGGATGATGAGATCCATCTGGAATCGAGGAAAACTGAACAGTCCAAGGACCCTTCATCGAAAATCACATCTGAATGTGGCATAAGCTTTTTTCTAACTAAACTTCTCTCGCGAAGAAGGCCTTTCGCTCTGGTTATTCTTTGTGCAATGCAAAAGTACTCTTTGCTAGGATGACCGCATCAGGTTTTCCGGACTAAAACTAGCTGAAGACCTAATCAAACCATCCACAGAATGTTCTGAGTCTCCTTAACAAAATATTTTATGCTAATTTTACTGAAATATTTTATGCCCTTTTTCTAATCAAATCTTTCTAATTCTAGCTACTCTAATCAAGTCCTTTGTACTTACACAAATTGTCTAATCAAATCCTTCTATCACCAAATGTGGCCAAATTAAGCTGACAAGGCCGTTGGACGACACCGGACCGTGACATGCACATTATTTTGCAAGATCGAAACCTAACTACATACTGAAAAACAGAGGGACTATGAGGAGGAGGAAGAGCAACCTTTTTTTATCTTCTTTAATTTTCTGACGGTAGTGTCCACGTCAGCAAAATGTTTGGATACGTCACACTCGGGCATTACCAACGGCCGCATCTGTTGGATTTGGTCAAATGTAGTGCCCGTTGGGACTTGATTAGGCAATCTGCGTAAATAGGAGTTCATTGGAAATATTGAAAGTGCAAAGGGTGAATGCACAAACTTATAGGGCTAACCTGGTCTAAGAATTTCAAGCTCCTGCATTAGGGATGAGAAAGAAGAGGAAATCACTGAGGAGAGTAGGGAGGCAAATGTTAGCAAATATCTCCCTAGCCTATCAAATAGAATTTTCAGCCACATTCCATTGTTTCTCAAAAGACAGTACTCTGGGGTCCTTAAGAGGCTTGCGGTCCCATAAACCATATTCATTTCATAGTCAGACACTTCTTTGAGACAATTAAAATCTAAAACGCAGTTTCAGAGACAGCTGCTCTCTGCTAACTGGGATGTTTTTGGCTCCCAATTGCTGTTAGCTTTCTGTGCCAAGCTGTAGCTATTCATATGTCCAGTGACTGAAAAGTATGGTAGTATTTAGCTGAGTACTATTTCTAAACTGGCGTTCTGCGTTCTATATGCTCCTTCATCTCCGTCTCTTGAAACTGAGGTAGTCTCAAATTCTCTAAGCTTCATGCTCGTATTATGCTCACCATCCATCATGACCAATCGGTCTTGGATTTCAAGTCCCATATAATTTCTTCATGCTGCAAGATAAATTGATATTCTTCTCTAAGTTCCCTCTCAAGATTAATCAGGGAATTCTTCGGGTGAGTCTTCATGGCTCTTCGAATACCCGCCGCCATTCTCACCAAGTCTCATAGGTTAAAAACAGAACAGTCCAGAGGGATGACTTGGTACCACCCGGTTTCAAGTTCAGCAAATTTGGATGGTGATCCATGCGCATTAAGTGGAAAAAGAGTTGCTTCAAGCAAAGCTAAGTCTACGCTTGTGTTGCCGCAAGCTCTATATAACCTTCCTAGAATGACGGCTCTGTCGTCAGAGGCTGGACCAAGTAAATTTTGATTCGATGAAGCTCATATTAATCACAGAGCAATATCTCATATAATCCTTGAAAGGACTAGCTAGCTCTATGAATATCTCTCCCATTCCACCCATTTTTCCCCTGCTATGGATGACTTCAATTTTGTGACTCGTGATTACCGAAGCTCTATCACTAGAATCAGTGAAGGATTTGAGAAAGATTTAGCAAACTTATAGTAAGGATTGTAATGATTGTTGGCATCGATGGTTAATTTCTCTTTGGACTGGTAGTTTGTCTAAACGGTACTTCTGTAACAAACCCTACAAATCTTCTCAAGACATCTTTTCATTCGAATTTGAGGTGTCTACAGAGGTCATGGAGATGGCCAATTGTAATGCGTTCCATCAAAAATACAGTCTTGTCATTATCTGTACTGCAGAAAATGGTTTTGAAACTTTGAATAAGGTTGAAAGTGCATTCCTCTACCGAAGAGGATACAAATGTAGTATCGTTGAGGAGGTCAGAGGAGCAAAACCGCTAACCAAGTCAAAACATATGCCACAAATGACACTCATAGTTTCCACTAGGATGTTTAATTATGTCACAGAAACGTTCAGGTTACATTTGAGATAATTATGTGAGGACCTCTAAGAACATGGTCTTTTGTTACCTATCTGTTTCTTAAGTAACTTAAAGCGAAGCGACTGAACAATCAGTGTCTTGATAACTGGTGTTGTTGGGATGCAACTTAAGCTCAAATGCTCCTTCATGCTCTCCAGATTTCAAGTAGAGCAGAGACAGAAGGAAATGAGGATACATTTATGAAGTCTCGCATCCACTCTTTCACGTGAGAACACAGAAATAACTGAAAACTCGTGGACATATTACAATGATGTTATGTACTTATATACAGGTCAGAGGAAAGTGTTATCTAATGATAAGACAATCTCTCAGGCCCCAAAACAAAATTCACTTACGCATTTCTGGTTTCCAGCATGAAACCATATTCCCGAACTTTCACTGGTGGAGAAATTCAATTGAATGACATTAATTGAGTTGAAGCAATTCACAATGGAGTTTTTATGCGCCTCCAGTTTCACTAGCCAAAAAAATGTTACATTACACAGAAGATTTATACGACTCTAGAGGAGCTTTACATATAAATTGTTTAAGCATAAGCGAGAAGCCTACGCTTAAAACTGCCAGATAACTTCATGAAGAAATAAGTTTCTATATCCTTAATACTGTAATTATTCTTAGCCCTGCTGCATTCACGTTCTGCTCCAGTGACCTATCTCGCATCCTTACAATCCTCAAGTGACAGATATTTAATGTACATCAACAGTACAGATCCTCATGTGGCCACCAACTAACTTCCATAAAAATGAGATGAGAAGACCACACGTTTAGTTGACCTGCGTCAAGGGTGAGCGTGGTATTAGAGATGGCTTCAATTCCTTCCCATCAAATGATTCATATGAATTGTGTTCACGAAACTCCTCAACAAGAGATTCCATTGGCATGGCCCGGAGTGACTCGATAGTTCCTTTTGTTGGAACTTCCGGATCACATCTAATTGGCGTCGTACCACTTGGCTTGTAGTCCTGTATATGAAATGCACAAATTGAATCATTATCCATCATATGCAGTCAGGGTTGGGGAAACTAAGCTCCTTACGAGGTTTGATTGCCAAACCTAGAAATGAATTGTAGTGCAGGCTTATATTGACGATAAAATTTATCAATCAAAATCCAAGAGCATGACCACGATAGACGAGAGCTCTCAGAACATGTACTAGGTCAATACACTCGCATCACTACTTTATTTTCAGAACTAACCTTAATGTGTCATTATTGTATTAAACCTGATTCTTCCAAGTGCAAAAACTCGCTAAACAGATGGCTTTGCCAAGCTTTTCAAATGAGGAAAACTTACTTGCAAAACCATAATGAATAAATAGTCTGGTTACGAAATGCTATACATTACAAATTAGACCGGACATTTAAGAACTTTGCTTCAGGTATAGTAACCAATTTATATACCTTAAGCTAAAGTATTCATATTATCACAGAACTGACAGTCATATCGAGGATAGAGAGTCAATATTCAAATTTAGTAAGTAATTGCGAAAGTAGGGCTACCATATAGCGATGTTGAAAAGTTTCTTCTGCTTTCTCCCTGACACTAGAAGCTTTGCCAGAGTGATCCTCACGGAAACTTTCCAACAATTGCATGTGTGCCTGGACCGTTTGTAGAATACCCGATATAGATTCTCGCTCTTGCACTGACACACCTGTGGAAATCATAACAAAAATGCGTATATAGAACTGTAATAATTGCGGCGATAGTGTGCACTTTCAGATGGACCTTATCAAGTCATCACTCCCCAAACATGCAACTGTGCCACAGCAATCTAAATTTTACATAAAACTTGAGAGTTGAATAGAAGAACAAACAAAGTTCAATCAACTGGAGAGAAATTTCAAGAACAATTCCATTAACTCGTACTTTTTCCTCTAAAAACTGTTAAACTTGTCTTGCATACAAAATGTTTGCAGCAATTACCAGCATCTGGTGATTTCACAATTTTAATTCAGACAAGTAAGAATAATCTAATCACAAATGCAGTTGTAATTTCAAGATTGTTGCCAAATGAGAAATTTAACAAACGGAATAAAAGGGAAGAGTCCGCTGTCCCAGATTACTTATCTATAGCGGACTTATACTCACTGTCAACATGCTTAATGAAATCTTCACTACATTTGACCACATCTTGCTGAGCTGTATCCCTTGCAGCACCAATCTCTACATCATGTTGCTCGTTACTATCAGAAACATCCCTGCCAAGGCAATTTTACAGATGTCTTAGATCGGTTAAAACGGAAACACATAAGAGCTCTTCACAAAACAAGGAGCTAACAAGCCCCTAAACTAACCTTATGAGTGACCTCACGGAGGAAACATGATTATTACCCATCTCAGATATGGCCTCACGAGTGCTACCCCAATGCTTGGAAGCTGATTCTGCAGTGCTTACACTAACCATATTGAAATAAAATCAAAGACCGAATGAGGTACTGATATTAAAACGGTACCATGGATAGCAAGCACATTACCATTGCTGTAAAAGTAACTCCATACGGCAATGTTTGGCAGCAGAATAATCAGCACTATCCTTAGCATCATTTTCTGCTTGAGAAGAAAATTCCTGCCACTTTCTTTTGGCATCTGTACTAATACCCTCCAGCGAAGAAACATGCCCATCCAAAAATGTCTTGTTCTGAGCAGCGGTTTCCCTAAGGCTAACAAGCCTTGTATCCACCTACAATTTTTAACTATCAATCCACCTTGATAGGAAGCACCAGAAGTATAAGCAATTTATTTAGATATAAAGCAATTCATAAGACAAACCATTTCTTTCTGACGACGGAAGTGATTACAAACTAAATTTGTCATATCTGCTAGAAGCTTTTCTTCTTCAGATTTTGACTGTTCCTGCATAATAATGATTGGACAATTCAGTCAATAATTTATTCAATAGTGCCTTATCATTCACAGGCATAGCAGTTCCCTTACTTCATAAGCCTTCTGAAACTCAGCAATACTTTTCATTTGAATTTCCTCAATATGTGCTGCATGGCCCTCAAGGTTCTTAGATTCTTCAATAAGCTTCCCAAGAAATCCGTTAGTGTACTCAGAAATGTCCTTGGTGTGCTCGATGCTGACGCTAAATCTCTGATGAATTAAACACGAAGGGGTAGAATTCAATGGACAACCACAGTTTAACAAGTGGAGGGGAATGCAGTTTCCATTTAATACACCAAAGCAGAAACAGAGCAGACAAATCCAAAGGCGCACACCTGTCGCAGTTCCCTCGTAAAGTGTGCCATTTCTCCCGCATGTGTTGAAAGAGTGCTTTGGAGATCATCAAATAGAGCTTTTGCTTCTAGATCTTTTGATGTCAGAAACTAGTACAAGCAAGGGAAACAGTTTAGTACATTGCATAACATTGAAAGATCCACAAGCTTGATAAAGTACCACTAGAATTATATACAGCATAAAACCAAAATAAGGCATGGGGAGTCAAACTTTGCTGCAAACCTCTTCTGAAGATTGCACATCGGAAGAAGCCAAGGATAAGATGTTGTCCAATCCTGCATTACAGCTAGCCTTGTGTAAACATACAACATTTTGCAGCGCCTCAATATGAGAGATGTACATAGCCCTCGAAGCTGTAACTTTCTTCTTCATATTCAAAACCGCCTATAAAAAGAATTTTTGTAAGAAACAAAATACTTTTAACAAAAAGAAGCTGAGATTCATTACTAGTCTCGCCCCATATATAGAAACAACATTTTTAGGGAGACTTGACTGTGGAACAGATGAAGCAATAAAAAAAAATTTCCTACCCTTTCGTGTGCTTGTTGAAATGACTGGCAGAATTTTTCCACACGATCAAGGTGCTCATTTTGCTGAGAAAGTGATCCATCCACCACAATGCGAAGTGAAGCAACTTGCCTCGCCAATTCAGTCAAGAAGTTGTTTACAACAGATTTGTTATCAGCATTGAGTTTATCTTCCCTATCTACAAGGTACACATCCAGAAGCATCAGGTTAATGCAACACGTACACAGCCTTACAAATTCAAACGACTCTATTCCAGTAAAAGAGTGCTTACCAATTTTAGAAAATAATAGAGCATTATCTTGTAGAGATTTCTCCAAATCAGCTCTCAAAACACAAGCTTGATGAGCCAAAGCATTTTCTGTAAAATCAACAAATCGGTAAGAAAAGAGCTCTTTGAATACAAGACCCACTCGAGAATAGAAGCCTCATAAGATACCTGCTTTTCTCTGTTCTGATATTATGAAATCCCTCTCCTTTATAGAATAGTTGCACTTCTTAAGTTCCTCTTTGGTGTTAGCCAACACTTTACTCGTATGCTCCAGATCTTTCTGCAATATTTGACCAGCTGAATAAGAAAAAAAGCACAAGGATTGAACAGTATCCATAACAATGAAACATCACTAACCTCAGTTGCATCGAGCTTGCTACTCAAGTCAGAACATTGTTGAACTTGACATTCATATTTCTCTTGCAATTCCTCAAATTGCTGTCACAACAGATGGTGAATGAGGATAACATCGCACAAGATGCCAAACCAAACTTTTTTCAAGAAAATACGTTATAAACTAACCTTTTGATGGGTCTCCATATTAACCCCCATTTGTTCGATCTGTTCAGCCATAGCCTGAAACAGACGTCATCAAAGGAGTGAGAAGAATTTTCCATTTAAGATGTGTTAGACCCAGGATTGACAACTATGAGAAGCAGGATAAAAACATCTTCAAAAGTCCAAACCAAGCACAGCTGGTCTTGAAATGAAGATTCCATAGAAAAGGGGATAGACATTTAGCATGCATTGCATCACAGGATATTATATCCTAAAACAAAGAAGGTCTTCTGAAATCCAAGCATGAAAAAGTCAAGATTAGGAAGAAAAAAATACCTTTCTTTCACTCTCCTCCTGATAATACCTCTCCTTAGGAATATAAACACCATTTTTCTCTCGTGCAGCATATACCTCTACAAAATAGAAGCATCTGATCAACAACACTAACTCAACCCACTATATGCTATTGCTGTAATCAACAACTTGCACCCCAAGACAAATGCCAGCAAGAATGGATGTGGATTAGATTCTCACCAGCCTTAAGACGATCGATTTCACCGTAGAGATCCTTAATAAGAGTGGATTTCATCATCTTTTGGTTTACCTACGCAGAGCACAAGTGGTCATCCCCCAGAGCAAGCATGAGTAGCAAGTTATAAATAGAATGAAGATTGACTTTGAATCAAGCATCACAATATGTATAATTGCCTTTTGAAAGTAGGGTTGTTGAAAAGAATGAATTATTCTTATGGTTATTTCAATAGTATTCTTTGTAAAGTTTAAGAATGCCACGCTACATACTATTCAAATTAAATATTCTTCAAGTGCAAGCTAATTGTGCCTATTCACATGCGAACCATCTTCACAATGTTCAACCTCCTCGCAACCACATGAGGGGCTCCTTATTCCACAAATCAAGAACACCAGTGCGATAGGAGCTCATACTTGCTTCAACAAAAAGAATATTGCAGGCTAGAATATCATGTCTTAGACTAAGGGAGACAAACCAGAACCAAAAACAGCTAAAATTGTCAACTTCATCTAATAGAAATAAATGACTGAAGCGGAGAAGAAAATCTAGGTGCAGTTATGTTAACTCATCCAGGAGCTGACCCAACCATAGCAAATAAGGGGAAAAGGGTCAACATGAATCGAAATGCTCCAAGCACTTAAAAGGTAGACTACGAAAAGAACAAAAAAATTGACCAAAGGAAAAAATTTTCTAAACATGAAATACAGGTGACAGTAAACAGACCTCAGGCTTATTTTTAATGTTCTTTGCCCTGTGCGCATAATCTAGGGTACTCAAGGTCTCCTCCAGACAGTGGACTGCAGGTGAAACTGTCGCAATAATACAGGTCTTAGTTCTTCCTCCGAGAGAATCCCGAAGTAACCTAGTGAGTTTGCTATCCCTGAGAAAAGGACATCTCAATCAGCCACATTTGACAGGAACAAGTGTAGCACGTCAGAGTTTATATTATTTCAAAATCACTTTATACCTGTAAGGAATATGACCAAGATGCTCAACAAGAGCATTAATGACTCTTCCCAACGTAAGCAAACTTTTGTTAATTTCTCCAGCTTCTCTCGCACGACCCTGTCAAATGAATGATACACAATATTTAACAGATGAGTCACACAACAAATATTGCACATCAATCAAATCGTGTGCAGATTGTATGGTCATTACCTCCCTAGCACCGGAACGGGATATGTTTTCGGATCCAGCCAGATCAACCAAGTTCAGTTTGCCGCATTTAATAAGCTCTTCTCCTTCTGGTGTTGCTTCTTTGATGTGTATTGTGATGGAAAACAAAGAGTGTGACCGACTACATCAAAACCAAAATCGACGTCTTATTGTAAAATAGAACCAACCCATGACAAAACGTAGTGAAAGAAAAGCATTTTATTTTTACCTTGATTGTTTATTTAACAGTGTTTCAGCAGTACGACGCTTTGAGGACCCCCTTTCAAGTAAAGTAAAGATCTCGGTAGCACTTGTCACAATTTCCTCCTCTATACCTCTAACAAGAACACCCCCTTTTCCATCCTCCATCAAGGGCAGCTGCTTTTTCTGCTTATCTTCCATGGCAACTCTGGAAATTTCCTCGGGTGCTAGAAGATCAGTAATTTCTTCATTGTACAACTCTATAAATGTAACCTTCACACTGTATTCAGCATTTTGGCTCTCCAGAGTATCAAAAATTTGCTTCACTGCTCTAGGTATGACTCCTGCTTCAGGAGGTAATTCTCCATTGGGTCCACTCTGCCACGTTTCACCATAGATACAGATTATAATTTCAATTCTTGCAGAAAGCAGAAAATTCATAATTAAGATGGTAATGGGAAACAAAAAGGCGTAATACCTTCGATCTCTTGCATTCACCTTCCATTGTGTATGTTTTTCCAGTACCTGTTTGGCCATATGCAAAAATGGTACAGTTGAAGCCTTCAAGAACTTCATTTACAATTGGAACTACTGCTTGCTCATAAAGATCTTTCTGCTGTGCAGATGGACCAAAAACCTGCATGCAAGAAGCAAGACGAAGCATGTAACCATCAAATTAAAGACACCACCTACCAATATATCTGTTTCACGGAAGTGGGGAATGAAAAGATACTTGAACTGAAAATTATTAAGTGATCGAGACAAAGATGAACTAAAAGCTGTGTTTTCAGATTATGCAGAAAAACATGAAACTCAAGCAGCATTTCATTAGGACTACAATTCATACGAAGCGAAATCTAATGTATTGTCTGTTAAATGTGATCTTCACAGCAATCAGTTGACAGAGAGCAAACTCATATTTGCTTGTTTTTTAACACCCCATTTCTGAACAAGGGATAATGCCGCTTCTTCTACACGTTTATGTACAACCTAGAAGTGGACATAGCTAATAGTTAGGACTCGTTTAAAAAATTGATAATCATTCACTCCTGAAGAAGACCTACCCGTGCCAGGTACTATTATCTTTTCAACATGTAATTAGATCGGACAATCAGTCAAGTCAAGAAATTACAAACATGTGCAAAATTGAACACCAATCGCTGCGAGAGAAACACCTTGTCAAGCCTCAGAAGAGGGAGTCTACACATAAGAATCCAATAATACTGTATGTAGGCCACAGAGTGCATGAGTCCAGTAGCAAAAGCTTAATAATTTTGGCACTAACAGTACATCCATGAGACCGCCTCTCAGACCGGACCCGACCCGACCCGACCGCCACCCAAACGTAACAACGACATAGCTAATTAAAGGAAACCGGGAATGGAATTAGCTAGATCAAGAACGAACCTTATCGAAGGTGAAAACCCGGTCGATGTGCTTCCCGGCGATGTTCTGCGAGACGGCGACTTCCCTCTGGTAGTCGTTGCAGGTCACCACCTGAGGCGCGTTGTTCCGCAACTCGTCCTCACTGAACGGCCTAAAAACAAACAAGCACAGAGCAACGCAAAGGAACACCAAAAAAAAAAAAAAAAAAAAAAAAAAAAAAAAAACGGGGGGCTCAGCACCAAACGATCGAAACGAAGCAAAATCGGATCCAAAAACGGAGCGCCCCCGACCCAAAAAAATCCCGGATCCTGGGAATCAAAGCGGTACCTGCAGCGGAGGAGGACCTGGACGTTGACGCCCTTCTCCTTCTCGTGGCGGCCGGACATCTTGAAGCGGACACGGGAGGGCGAATCGAAGGAACCTATGATTGCTTCGCTTCGCTTCGATCGTCGTCGTCGTCTTCAACCTCTGGATCTGCACGCACAGAGAGACTCTCTCTCTACTCTACGCTCGCTTTCTCTCTCTAAAAGGCACGCAGGCAGGCAGGCACAGGCAGGCGCGCGCAGATGCACGAAACTCAGAGGGAGGGAGAGAGAGAGAGAGAGGGGGTGTGAAATGCGAGGGGAGGAGCGGGACGGGGCCGGATTTTGAATTTCGAAAGGCGCTCTCTCGGCTTGGGGGGTTTCCATCCAACGGCCCCGTACGAATCGATCGGACGGTGCGCGTCGCGGTTCGATGATCATGTGCATTTTGTGCATACGTGCCCTTCGTTGTTTTCGAGTGCGGCTACCTATTTGTTGCCTTCTTTTGAGGATGTTTTTTTTTGTCCTTTTTTTCCGTTTTTCGCAGGTTTGCAATTATTTTTGAGGTTAGAATGGACTATTTATATGTTTGGTACGACGGAGTGAGATGAAGAAAGCATAGAACAGCACGAAATGGAGAATTTTACGTGCTTTTTTATTAGGTGAATCAAACGAATGGAATGAAATGGATTTTCTTTTTGTTCGCGAGTAAACCAATAATGATCTGGAAATTGACGAGGAATAATAATTCCGATGAATTTGACATAACGTTTATTGCATTCTTTCCACCCAGTTAAGTCTTGTAATACTAGTTTAATTATAGTACTATAGATCTAGTTGTTTTATCATGATCGCTATTAAAAAAGTTGTTGATCATAATAAAATTTCAAACGACAGTAAGAAAGTTTGTTGATTATTTTATATTTGGAGGATGTTATCATATTATATTAATAATACCTTGCTGCAATTATTTTCAGATAAATGAGCATTAACATTCACAACTATAGAACGTAAACAATGCGATAAATTATTATTTTTATCCAGTATCCATAACTGGTATAATCATTTTTTATTTGTATTGGTTAGTTATTATTCATTGCCCATTTAATAGTTATAACTTGGGACAATGCCGCAATGTTCTCTATGCTTCTGGTCGATGTTAAATTTCGACCTCGAACTTTAATTATTAAGTTGGTCCTTACATTTTTCGACCGGAACATAATTCTGTCATTTCGACCATTTGGTCCCGTCTATCCATACAGGTATTTAAGCAAAAAGAGTGTTTTTGTCCCACTTTTTACTTTTCAAAATTACCTCCGTAATAAATAACAGAAAGATCGAGAAGGACATATTTAGGACCCGTTTGGTTCAACTTTACAAATAAGACTTGGGGAAATGCAAATACCTTCAGGTTAAAGCCCCTTATGGAAATGCAAATGGCGTTCGGTAAAAAATCATTTGTGAAGCTACTTTGGGCCAAGTAGTGTTTGGCAATTTTTTTTTTGCAAAGGGCTTTGGAAATTTTCTTTTTTATTAAAAAAAAAAACTTACCCTGCCCTTTGCCGGAGCCGGCAAAGGCCTACGATTGCCGGCGAGCTAGATCTGGCGCCAGTAGCCATCGCCTGAGGCCGGGCGACTCTCGGCGAGGGTCACGCGAATCGCCTAGAGTTGCGCTAGCTAGATGGCCATTGCCTGAGTCGCTCGACTCAGGCACTGGCGCCTGGGTCACGCGACCTCAGGCGACCGTTGCCTAGGTCGTGCGACCTCGCCGGCCCGATCTGGTGTTGACCACCCTCGCGCAAAAGATGAACAGTAATAAGTGGGGCAAAACTGAAATAACCCAGAATAAAGTGAGGGTAGTTTGGGGGCAAAAAAGTTGATAAGCATTTGGCGAATGCTGAAAGCCCATTGGGACGGTTAAGCATTTCTCCAAGAGGCTTTCGAGGCCAAAAGCCCCTTCCCAAAGCTAAACCAAACACCCCTTAACGAATCTCTTATATCTTCCTACTCCATCAATCTCCTTGCACAATTGTTCATTTTCTTTTACTTTAGACATTGATAATAAAAACTATTTATTATAGACATGATCCATCATAATATAATTGAGCTATAATTCAGCATCTAATTGTGCATGCATTAGTAAATGATATTCATAATCAATCACAAAAAGTAACAAAACAGTTTATTTAAATTTGGATAACAAAATTGCTTTTGCTAATTGTAGTTCATATTTATTAATTGTTTCAACCGTAATTTACAATTATTAATTATTTTACTCTTGGAATTAGTCGAAATATCGACGATAAAATTAATTATGGAACTCAATTTAAAAAAAAAATACATAACGAGCTATCAAAATTTATCATGATTAATTTTGCACTATAGAGTGCGAAACATTAGGGTCTGTTTAATAACGTTTCTGTTGCTAGAAACAATTTATGTTCAGAAATAGTTTTTTCTATTTCTATTCCCTAGACGAGTTTCTGAGAAAAAAATGCATTTAGTAACTGTACAAAATTTCTATTGCCGGAGTAGAAAAAGAACAAAAATGCATCTGGTAGGACACTAAAAATTTCTACTCTCAATTTTTTCATTTAATTATAAAATTTTCATTGGAGACTTAACGATTCATATTTGGATAAAACTGGACTAGATATAGAATAAACATATATTATGATATAGAATTGGATGACCTTAACATAATCATAAAGAAAATTACTCTTTATAAACAAAGCAAATACCGGTGGTGGTTGAGGAAATTGCAGTTTAGGAGACTTAATAATTCATGTTTGAATAAAATTGGACTAGAAATAGAATAATAATACATTATGATATAGAATTGGATGACCTCAATACAATCATAAAGAAAATTACTCCTTATAGATAAATCAAATATCGAGTTGTCGTTGAGGAAATTGCAGTTTAGGGTGTAAGATTTTAGGATTTGAGGTTTGGTGTTAAAGTTTTAGGATTTCGGTTTTGAGGTTTAGGGTTTTGGATTTTATGATTTAGGGATTGGGGTTTAGGTTTTAGAGTTTCGAGTTTTGGGGTTCTAGGTTTAGCGTTTCGGGTTTTGGGTTTATGGTTTTAGGGATTTGGATTTTGGGTATTGGGGTTTGGGATTTAGGGTATAGGGTTTACAATTTAGGGCTTGGGGTTTAGGGTTCAGGGTTTTACGGTTTAACGTTTTAGGATTTATGGTTTGGAATTACGATTTTAGGATTTAGGGTTTGGAGTTTTGGGGTTTAGTGTTTCAGGTTTTGGGTTCGGGATTTTAGGGTTTGGGTTTTTGGGTTTAGGATTTGGTGTTTAGAAGGTTTAGGGTTTGGGTTTTGAGGTTTCGGGTTTTATAGTTTAAGGTTTCGGGTTTTTCATTTTAGTACTATGGGTTTTAGGGTTTGGGTATTGAGGTTTAATGTTTTAGGGTTTACGGTTGAGGTTTAGGATTTTGAGGTTTAGGGTTTGAGGGTTAAGGTTTAGGGTTTTTGGATTTTGGGTTTAGTATGAGAATATCTTGTGAAAGAGGGAGAGCTGATCTTGTTTCTCTATTGTTTCTTTTTTTATCCCAAAAATAGAAAAGTAGAATTTTTTATTTATTATTTCTGTTACAAATCTATTCCTATACAACTTTTCTGTTCCGGGGAACAAAAAAATTAACTGATGTTACTAAACGGATTTCTGTTCTTTTTCTGTTTCGGAGAATAAAAAAACAAAAAATAGAGAAATAAAAACGTTACTAAACAGGTCCTTAGCTTCTTGGGTAAGGGACGACACGAACATATGATTTTATCTGAAACTAGAGATGTATTATAAATAGGCCTAATCATGAACTTGACTGTTCGACAGGTGTGCTAGCCTCGTTTGGTCGGGCGAGCTTCACTCTTTTCGTTTGATATAAAAGGAGTTGGCGATCATCTATGAATAATAGAACCTTCGTGTCCTCACCCAAAAGGAAGTGAACCTTTCAATTGGTGCAACTCCGTCCTAAACCTTCACTCAAATGTGCAACCAAGCCTTTCGATTTTAGCAATTAAGTCCTAAGCATTATCTAAAAATTCAAATCAAAGCACTGAATTTATAAATGAAAAAAGCAACTTAAGGATGTCATATGCAAATTTGAGTGTCGCATGGGCAACTTTATAAATTGTTCATCGAAAAAACTTACTACAGTTATTGACAAAGAGTTAGGACTCGATTGAATTAATCAAAATGTTTATGGCCCGATTTTATTCCTTACATGATGAGATTTGAACTTCTGGTACACTTTTTTTCTTTTGCTGCTAGAAAAGTTATGCCTCACTTTCCAAAACAATGCATGGTGGTATCTTTTCGGGAATAGTAGCATTTTCTTTGAGTCGCATTTTTTCCACTTTCACCGTGGCTAAAACACTATATATCTTAGTGTTTTGACAATATTAGCCTCAGTGAGTCCTACCTTTTTAAGCATCTTCTAGTTGTCACTGTAGAAAGTATTTCCCTTTTTTGTTTGGAATGCGGTGTTTCGTTTGTTTTCTTCTCTCTTTTCTCGTGAGTCCCATTTTCCTCCTCGTTCTTTATTTACTCTCTTTGTTTCCTCTTAATCCTGATCAGGGTTCAAGCCATGGTGGTACCTGAATAATCCAAGACCTCTCTCAGCAATTGAATCAACAAACGCTTTCGTTCTCATTCAACTAAAAAAGAACACAAAAACCCTAGAATTAAACTCCACAAAATCAAGCTCAAAATCTTCATCCACATCATCTGTTCTAAGTGCGCTTATTGCAAGCTTAAGTGCTTCAATCGGTATACCGATCAATCTCGATCACCAGCAGCTTCTGGACCTTGCCACTCTCCTCAACCTCCTTCATCTTTGTCACCAGGAACGTGTCCCTCTCCTTATTGCCTCTGTCCTCTCCCTCTCCACCCTCAACCTCTCCATCTTCTTTCTCATTGCGATCAACTCCTCTGCGAGCAATGTGTCCAGCTGCTCCACCTTTGTCGGAGGAGTCACGGTGATGTGGGACAACGGTGGAAAGGGGCAATTCTCCCTATCCAACTTAAAGAGGATTAGGGAGATCTCGATTCCAATCCTCTCAAGTTTTGGCTTCAGTTTTGGCTGGTTGTCGATGAGAAGAGTAGCCAAAGAGTTCCTCGGATAGAGAGGCTTCCGACCGGAGCTTGTCGTCCCCACTTGCCAAAGGTCGGAGCGCTTGCATCTTCACCTCTTAATTATGACCATGAACAACATGATTGCCAACATCATCATCGTCATCGTCATCATCATTGTTAATGTTATTAACCTCCTTAGTTTTGTCGAAAGTGTCTCCCTTCTCATCCCTCCAATCGAAGCTCTGACCATGGTCGTCACTGTTGCCTTGAGAATCGCCAAAAGAAGGGTCTCTGCTACACAGGTGTGGCAAGGAAAGTTTCTCGTCGCCAATCATTATCACCATTATCTTCTCTTCATACACCTTCACAGCCTTGTTGTGCCCTTTTCCATCATTCCCCTTTGCTTTGCCTCGGTTTTCTTCGTCTCTTTGGGGGTTGCTCGAATTGCCAAAGAGTTTTCAGTAGGAACATGCCAGGATCAAGTGAGCAAAGCCTATGAGCCCTAGCATTGCTGCCAAGCAAGTACAACACAGGACAGTGCCACGGCAATTGCTGTGACACCATTGGTGATGTTGAAGCGATAATTGGAAAGAGGGAGGAGAGGGACATATTTGCAAGAGAGAGAATAGAGTGAGTAAACGAAAAGAAGGAAAGTGGGACCCTCGAGAAAAGAGAGAAGAAAACAAACGGATCATCACGTACTTTAAAAAGAAGAATGCTTAAAAAATGTGAGACCTACAAAGGTTAATATTGTCAAAAAGCCGTGTCAGGGAGTGTTTAAGCCATCATATGAGTGGAAAAACATGAGCCTATTTAAAATAAAAAAAGCCCAACTTTTTGCACCTAAAACAAAAATAACAAAACCTTTCATACGTCCCGAAAAAGCCTAACCTTTTTATATATGAATTAATACCACAAAAAATCTTAAACTAGTACATTTATGATAAATTTATCCCGAATTAATTTTTTGACCACTAAAACCCCAAACTTGTACATTTGTGACAAATTTACTCTTCGTTTTATTGGATTAATATTACGAAAAATCACAAACTGGTACACCTGTAACAAATAGAGGGTAAAACCCTAAATTGGTACACCAGTCAACTGTCACGTGTCATCCAACTCAGAAATTTGACAGTAAAATTTAACGAAAACTAAAAATTGTCACCGGTATATCAGTTTTGGATTTTTTAAGGTCAAAACATTAGTTTGGAGTAAATTTGTCAGAGGTGTACTAATTTAGAGTTTTTTGTTCACAGTAAATGATTTGCCCGGTTCCCAATCCTCATTGTTCATCTCTATATTCACATAGCTGGTCCTCCCTTGTGCATCGACATTTGCAATTCAAAATCGAAATGGACTGACACTAAGAACACTAAATAATAAACAAATTACTTGTCAAAGTATGTTTTCTTCTCCTTTTACTTTAAATAAATTTAGTGAATTGGCGGTTGGCTTAAAATAATGAATGACGGTATTAATTGCATCGACAGGGAGGAGACTAATTAGATTAGGCATAATTACCTCACCCAAATCATTAGCCAATTGCCATTGCTTTGCGCAATATAGACCGAGTATCTAATTTGGTCAAGAAACTATAATGTTACAATGCTATGATACAACGCTTTAATGAGCAAACTTAGGAGATAGGAGATGAGCTACAGAAGGTCAACAAAACATCTTCCCTTTTGCTACAATCTATACTAACAAGATCACCTAGACAAACTCCTCCACCAACTCACCAAACTCGAACTTCCCATTGCAGCACTCCACGGCGTTCAGCACCTCCTGGAAAACCGACACGCTGCACGGGACCGTGAGGCCGTTCCTCTGCTCAAACCCAAACTCGTCGCTCGCCTTCTCGAGCAGCATCTTGAATAGCGGGTGAGACAGGAACCCGGTCGGCACGAGGAACCGTTGCCTCCCTTCCCCGACGTAGACTGGGAAGCACCCCAGCGGGGTCGTCGATGATGGGGAGGATGGCGAGCATTCCTCGCCGTAGCGCTCCCTAAGCAAGCCCACCTCCTGGTCGGCTGATCGGGCCCTCTCCTTCGCCATATTTGCCAGCTTCTTCAGAGAAACTATCTTCTTCCCCATGATGTGCGAAACTATCTTCCTCCCCATGATGTGCTTGATCTCTAATGTTCGAGAATTCTTTGGGTATTGGAAGATGAGAAAGATGAAGACGGAGAGAAATTAGAAGCTGGGAAGCTCGGTGCTACATTGGTGACTTCAGTGTATTGCTTGGAGGGGGAACAAATGGTGGGTTGGGGAGGATTTGTAGGGTATGGTCTGGCATGATAAGGGCAATTTTGGTTAAATTAATGATGAGATGAGTTTTGGTTTCGGCCTTTTCTATTTGAAATGGTACGGAACGTATGATTGATTCTTTTGGGGGTGGGGGGTCAGTTTTCTTTGTTTCTATTAGGTTGTCCTAATTCGGATTATTATATAGAATTAGAGAGCAATTGAATAAAAATTGTTACCGTCGACATCATACAATGTAATAGGTGACGATAGTGACGGGGGCGGCAAGAAATCAAAAAACAAGGAGGTTTGTTTATTCCACATTATTGTTTGATGATGCAATGTTGGTAGGCCTCGAAATTCTCTATCGAGCATTTGAATCCGTCCTATCGGTGTAAAGGGTAAATGAAGAGCCGATCGGCGTTAAGAGTATCATGTTTAAGATGTATCATAGCTATTTGATATAAAGAATAGACGATTTGTCGTCAAGTCATATGTCATAAGTATATCGTTGGCACGTTGTTTTAAGGTTAAAACTTTTGGGTGTGGACTTCTCATTGGCACGAGGGGCAATACCAGTGGTCTCGGAGTCCATCCCAATTCGATTTTTATTGGGATAAGTGTATTGAAAGTTCTAAAATTTATCACGAAAGTACAATTGAGTCCTAAAATTTTCAAAAATTACAATCAAATCCCAAAATTTGTCAAATTGGTCCAATCAAGTCATTCTGTTAATTGCACTTTTTGAAAGTGTTAGGACTCGATTTAACTTTGGTGATAAATTTTAGGACTCGATTGCACTTTTATGATAAGTTTTAAAACTTTCGGTGCACTTATCTCATTTTTATTAGTGGTGACTTGGTTCACAATCTTGCTCGCAGAGTGCCATGTGCCACAAAATCTTCAATTGATATTAGGGTTCCGCCCGAACTGAGTTTTGCTCTGCTCATCCTTCGTGTGAACAGCATCGCCATGAGTACCAACGTCGGCCAATTCCATCTCACCATCGTCCTCATCCACTGCCATCCTCACCACCTAGCCACAAAGTAATCCATTGTCATTCGTCTTCGTGTTTCCCAGGTTAAGAGGTCCATAATGCCGTTGAAGCAGCTTATGCACCCTGAACGTCAAGACAAAATGGGCTTAGAACTTGTTCTCGACACAACATAGGGGTGAGCGGTTTTAAGATGGGTAGGTTTGTGGCTTGCAACCTGAAACCTACTTGTCGGGACTGGTTTCTAATTTTTGGGACCTAAAACATACCCTATAAATCTTGGAACCAACCCTGTCAAGGTGGTCTGGCCAATTCCTTTTATTGTTTCGTTTTTTTTCCATGAAAGGACAAACTTTAGTAAATCATCCCTTTTTTTACAACCGATACAAGTAATAATTACGGTAAAATAGTAGAGCAACAAATGACAGAAGCACGATACAAAATAAGCAGATTTATAAAGCAATTGAGAAGCGTCCAACTCATCCCCTAGTCAAGTAAAATGAAGGTTTAAGCAACAACAGAAACTCCCATCAAAGAACTATGAAGAAGTGGGTGAAGCAAGGTAGAGAGTGAGAGAGAGAAACCAAAGGTAGAGGCGGCAACAACAGGAATACATGATGCAAGGTAAAACTAAAAGGAAAAAATTAGGGTTTATTAGTCCGGGTCTCCATTCCAATCCGGTTTCGCACTCATATTCAAGAACCGAACCGGTAATAGCTGGTTACAAATTTTTGGAACTATGAACCAGACCAAAAACAATCGGGTCATATAGAGTTGGTCCGGTCCAATTCCAGGGTCTACCCCGGATCAATACTCACCCCTAATGCCATAAGTTAATTTACGGCTTTTAATCGATACTTTTCTTTTGCATTTACATAAAAATACGAAATTCTCGCTGAAACCGTTACGGTATATCGGTTTAGGAATCAAATTTGCCAAAATAATACAGGCCTACTTCTGTAATTTCTGCCCAAGTTGATTTGGTCGAAAAGATTATCACATCTTTGGGTCTCACCAGAAGAATATTCCTTAACCTAGAGCTGCACCCTCTTCCCCTGTAATCTAATTTTCTAAACTATTTAGTTAAGATTCAACAAAAATGTCTCGGGCCGGACAAAATTCATGAATGGGTTGGTCACGGTGGGTGGGCGCCTACTATTCAATCAATATCTACAGCAATGAAGAAACCTGTTAAATTACAGGAAGGTTGATGATGCATCATTTTAGACTCAGTTTCCAGTTGATGAAGAATTGTCAGCACCCCCAACTCCCCCAAGAGTCCACGACGTGTTAGGAACGAAGAGAAAGAGCATCTCTCTCCATAATAATTCGAGATGGCCGGCACTGTAGAGAGAGAGAGAGAGAGAGAGAGAGAGAGAGAACAGTCGAAGAAGTGGGACGAACGAACACGAAGAAGAAGACAAAGGGAGGTTGGAGAAGAAGACATTAGGTAGCGTGGACGGGAGGGATGCGACCAAAGCGAAACTTGGTCGCCCAAGAAAGGAAAGTATAAATAAAGAGGCGAGGAAGAATTAAGTCTGCCCTTTTCACTTTGTATCGTTTAATCTTCAGATCTACTTGTATTATGTTATATTTGCAGTCCTAATCTACCCGATTAAAATTAGGGGTGTGCAAAACGGACCGTCCAAACCGTAAACCGTCCGGACCGGACCGGACCGAACCAGCCGGTTGGGTCCAGATCCTGGGAGTGTTGGTCCGATTCCCGGTTCCTAAAAGTGGAACCAGTGTTCGGGTGGTCCTGTTCCTGATTCCATGGGGAAACCGAACCGACCGGACCATACCAACTACATATACTTCTTTTTATTTTTTATTTCTTCAAAAAAATTAGTAAAATGTGAACTAAACCCTAAGTGACAAGTTCCATTGGACTGGTCCGATTCCCGGTTCCACCTTGGAACCGAACCGGATCTGGAACCGATTACCCCTAATTAAAATAACTAAAATACCTTCCTTAAAAGAAGGACATTGAAAACCCCGACCCCTAAAGCTATGTTTGATAGTCGAGATAAGATAAAATTTATTTTATCCCGTGTTTGGTTCCTACCCAAGATAAGATAAAATCGAAGATAAAAATATCGGCAAAAGAACACTAGAAGTGTCATAAGTTGTGTATGGAGGTCACTTTGGTGCCATAACTTTTTTTTAGATCACTTTGGTGCCAAATCGGAGAAAAATAGATCACTTTAGTGACTCCGGCCAAAAATTGACCTGGCATTTACATATAAAAAAAAATGGTGACCTGGCATTTATATTTTTTCAAAAATGGTCTGCTTTGTACACATGAAAATTAGGTGGCTTTTTTTAAAAAAAAATTAAATTTAAATTATATTCAAATAAGGAAAAAAAAAAAAAAGGGGAAGCAGCAGCAGGCGAGGGCTTGCCGCCGCCCCACCACCGCCGGCCGGGCGAGGGCTTCCGTTGCCCGACTCAGGCGAGGGTCACCCTCGCCGGTGTCGGGCGACCCTCGCCGGTGTCGGGCGAGGGAAGCCCTCGCCTAGGCGAGCGAGGGTCGCCCACGCCCGACTCAGGCGAGGGCGACCCTCGCCCGACTCAAGCGAGGGTCGCCCACGCCGAATCTGGCGAGGGTCCGGCGAGGGCAACCCTCGCCTGAGTCTGGCAAGGGTCGCCCTCGCTAGATTCGGCGAGGGCGACCCTCGCCTGGGCCCGGCGAGGGCGACCCTCGCCTGGGCCGAGCGAGGGCGACCCTCGCCGGCGTCGGGCGAGGGCTGACCTCAACAGCGTTGGGCGAGGATCGCCCTCGCTCGACGCCGGCGAAGGTCGCCCTCGCCAGATCCGGCGAGGGCAATCTCGCCCGATGCCGACGAGGGTTGCCCCCGCCGGAGAAGAAAAAAAAACAGAAAAAGACGAAAATACCCTTGGGTTAAAGTGTTGTGAGGTAAATGTATCACAATGAATATAATTTGGGATTTTTAGTATCACAAAAAAAAGTTCAGAGTAAACTTGTCACAAATGGCATAGTTTGGGGTTTTTCGTGTAAAAAAAAAAGTTCAGGATAAATTGTCACAAGTGTCATAGTTTGGAATTTTTGGTGGTATTTTCCTTTTTTTGTTTTTTTAATTATTTTAATATAATTTAAATTTTATTTTTCTAAAAAATTACACGTCAGCGGACTAAACGGCGTCGTTTTTTGTTTTTAATGCTGACTGGAACTCTTCGGCGAGCCATGTCAGCGCCACGTCAGATTTCCGGCAAGCAAATCGGAGTTGGCACTAAATTGATCGTTTTTCAAAAAAATTGACATCAAATGATCCAAAAAAAAGTTATGACACCAAAGTGACCTCCGTACACAACTTATGGCACTTCTGGTGTTCTTTTGCAAAAAAATATCCCATAAAAGTTGGGATAAATGTGGATAGGATTTCTTATCTAAATGGCATAAAAGCTATAACTCTCGAATAACAAACTTCTTAAATTAAAACAATTAAAATAATAATTAAATATAAAATAATATTGTATTTTGATATAAAAAATAAAATTCTTTTTTTGGTCTAATAATATAAAAAAAATTCAAAACAACAAAAAAATGAAGGACAAATTTGTTTTTTTATTTCTATTTTTATTTATATATTTGAATTTCTTTCTACTCTATAATATATATTATGCATGTAAATATATTTATATAGTATCTATATTTATTACATGTTTTTGGTATATTAGTATTGTTTATTCTTTAATAAAAATTTTATTAAGGAATGATCGAAGGGAATAAGAAAGAAATAAAAAAGAGAGGAGAATAATTATATAATAAGTAAATAAAAATGAAGTAGAAGAACCTCAATTTTAAATGAACAAATTCAAACTTGAACCAATCTTTCTAATTCACTCCGTCTCCTTCTTCTTCGTATCTCTGATTCATGTTGAAGCTTCACAATTCCTTTGTGATTCCTTCTTCACGTCAAAGCTCCACGAAAACAGTGAGAGAAAGGCAAAGCTCCTTTTTCTTAGTAGCTCTATAGTTCCAGCCAAAAGTCTACAAAAATAGCAAAAGAGTCGAAACTCCTTTTTTTCATAGCTCTATGTTTCATGTTGAAGTTTTACGAAAGTGGCAAGAGAGGCAAAACACTATATTTTGTTTGAATCGCAAGGTGAATAATCATATTTTT